CTGGGGTTGCCAGTGGGAGCGATAGGGATGAACACAGTAGCGTGGAAGTAGACCGATAGTAGGTTCGATGGCCCAGGCTCTAGCTGACATTCACTACTTTTGCTTCATAAGGCTTAAAAACAGCGTTTCAAGGTTTAGTAATGGCATGTGGCATACTGATGAAAGCATTTTCCTACGGGACTGCGCAGGGTCATGGGACCGTTGCTTTTTTAGGAAAAGCTGCACTCATAAGTGTGAAGCAATCTCTGAAGTCACTGGATAAGCAGAACATGTATTAATAGGATGTGTATGACAGTAGTACTTATTCTGTCACTTCCTTTCTGTTTTAGAAAAGAGATAGATACAGCATTTAAGGATTATAAAGATCATACACAGATGTTAATTGCTTTCTTATTAAATTAGAACTGCACCACATCTGAAAGCACAAGAGTTTGTGTCCAGTGACCCAAGAGTGATCACAGTTGCAAAGCTCCATCTGAAAGCGTAATATTCACAAGTGCAGTTATAGAAGCAGAAAACTTAAGCTTCTGGGAAACTTAGACATATTTCTGAGGTTACATTTTCTGTATTATCCTCACAATAAGGGATCCATTCCTAATGGAGTCCTATAACACAGAAACAGAACTAGCAGATTACATAGTTAGGATTTCCTAGCAATTTTAATACCAAATGTGCTATGATTGTTGAGGACATGCTTTGGAAGCAGACAAATAGGACAATTTGGGGTTTCCTTCCATCTCAGCTTGTCTCTCTCATTGCTCAAGGATTGCTTCATGCAAGAGCTGGCTACATTGAATTATGTGTGCCAAAAGAACAAAACCATTCAGAAAGGAAAACCCAATCCTTCAAGGACCAGCCATTATGCCCTCAAGAAGTCAAATATGATTACTTTTGAGGCCTGAGATAAAATAACAGGCTTTTTTCACATGGAAGAGAATAAAAAATGTTCAGATTTCCATAAGTGCTTCACAGAATGTCAGCTGGTGTACTGCAAGCATAGTTTTCTTTATTTTCAGTACTCCAGAAATAGCAACCTATTCTTATCATGGGTTCAACACTCCCCCTGGAGAGAATGAATACACATTTAGCTTTAAGCATGGAAACTCTGACCAGTGAAACCCAGAACCTTATGCTCACTTCAAGTCTGTAAAATTATCCATATGAGTTTTCAAGATAGAATGCAAAAAAAGCAGTTAAAAAATGAGTTATACCCTTTGCTTACCTCCTTTTAAGCCATTCAGTAGACAACTACTTATGCTGGTCAATGGCAGCTGCTCTTTGTAACCAGCTTAACTTCTGTGCGCTTGACTCTCCAACTGCCACAACTCAACGGGCGCATCCAGATCTCTCCAAAGTTGTTATGAGTCTTTCCGCTTCAGTGTCCAAGCAAATACTGTTTGGACCAGCTAGTCCTTGCATATATACCTTCTTTCTGCTTACTAAGCCGCCGCCTTCTTCTTGCAATCAACCTCCAGATTTTTTTGACATCATCACAGTCTTTAAATGTATTATTATATTTTTTAATCAATCCTTTGGATGCTTTTTCACGGTACCTGACCTCTATGAAGTGGAAGATTCCTAAGACAGGGGTGTTGTTTCCTGGTAGATAGTTTTACACTTATTTCCAGCACATTACATGGCTATGAGAGTCTGGAGACTAATTTGTTCTCAGACATTACTTTTCAGTTTCCAAGAGTGAAATCCAATGGATCCTCCCATAATGGATGCCCCCAAATTTAACTGCCTGAAATAAACCTTCCGCTCCAATATGCTATGCCCTTCCTCGCTTTCTGAAAACTTCCCTATTATTAGGTAACTGTCAACTGTGCAGTACTATTTGAAACAGTTTCATTCTATGTAGCGGTACTTAATTCCCCTTTAAGGCTGTAAGGACTACAAAAGAATGGGAACACAAAGGTCATTGTCCTCAGCCTCAACCCAGCTGTCCCAGCAGAAGTACGTAGTGCCTCTCTTCCGAAGGCAGAACTGTCTCGGGCTAGCACTGCCACCCCCCTCCCAGCCCCTGCCTCCTCCCGTGGTGACTGGTTATTGCTTCAGCATCTGTAGTACTTCACATTGAAGAGTTAAGTAACTTTGCAGACACTTGATCCATTATTAAATGAGAACAGATCTGAATGGATCAAACATACTGGCTTTAGAAAAACAAGGAACTCCTCCTCATCAGTTATACAAGCCTCCTGTATGAAAGAGGGAAACTAGTTAAGATTTTTTTGTGATAATTGCTTTACTGCTTTTCCCTGCAGTCCACCTCGCTTGACACATTTTACCTTAGGGATATTTAGAAATAGTCTGTTTCCATTTTCTTGCTGCATAATCTAAATAAGTAACTTTAACAGCTACACGGCACGAAACAGCAATAAGCCTTTGGAGTAGTGGTGAGGGAATTTCGCCACAAACTTACTGTAATTCAAGAAAGAGCGTGATATAAAATTTAAAATACTGTCTATGTTTCTGTATTTCTGCTAACTTCCTGGTCCCTTCATTCTCCATAGTGTAGTGCCTCTTTTCTCTTCCCTGAACTAGCTACTGCTTCCTGACAGAAGTTATACCTGCAGGGCACACCAACGTCCCCAGTAATAGGCAGAAATCTACTCTTGGTCAGAATTCAGAGGAAGGCAAATGTAGAAATACAAAGTTGCCCTAGATCATGACTGTCCAGGAAGTGCCTCACCCTATCCCTGGATCCGGTGAACAGCATGGCCACTATTTTCTCCTTGACCCTGTGTCATCAGTAAGATTTCATAGTCTATTGTAAAAATGACTGCCAAAACCATTTGAAGGAGACGTGCATAAGAAGCTTTATTCTGGTCTTAAGAGGGAAAAACCCAAGGATTTTCCAAATGGATTAAAATGCATCTGAAATCAGAAGACACGTTGTTTGAAACTCACCCACATAGATGTCAAAAAGATACTCCTCCTGAGGGAATGCCCACTTTTGGAAGACACCGTGATTAACAGCAGATGTATCTACTTAGCCCCTTATTAATTCTTTCTTCTACCACAAGATTATTATCATGGGGACAGCCTGAAAATGAAACTAGTGGAACCAGAGTTTACATAGAATTTTGTGGGGAAAAAAGCAGAAATATTACATGTCACCTTCCCTCCTGCTTCGATGCTCCCCTCACATGTTTGCAACAATCTCAAAGTCTATCCTTTTCAACCAAGATCCACTGATTTCCCAGTAATATAAGCCTCCATCTTCCTCTCCATTTAGCTGGGGTCCCTCACTTAGTGGGAGCATATGCAGGCACAACTTTTGCCATGAAGAGGATTCGGTAAGATTCCTTAATGTCACCTTTTAAGGTCAGGAGGGCTGTCACAAGCGGAGGGTCATTGGCCTACAAAGAAATTCCAGACATAAAACCAACCTATTATTTTTTGCACATAGAACAGATCAGTTAATCAAGTTTTAAACTACGTATTTTACATCTCTGTTGCAAGATGTACATTATAGCTATAGATTACCTCTCTTCCCACTGTGTTGACTCTTATGTTTTTACGCAATGCTCATACTGCAGTAAGTAAAGTAGCAATGACTAAGCATTCTATCTCCAGAGTGCTACAAATATTGTCACCACATTACAACCATGACAACTGGGCACAGCAGCAACGGAGTATGCTGCAGTGAGGGTTGGGAAGGAAATGGTTCCTGTGAGCCATCAGTTAGTGTTAAACTTTGTGTAACAACCAGTGGTTACCAAGAGGCACCTGATACATCATGCCAGGAACTCTGCTGCCTTCTTTCTGCACATGATAGAGCAATCTTTTAATTTTGGAACAAGCTACTCATTCTGCCATCCCACACACAGCTCACAACAAAAAGCAGGGGAGTAAATTATTTCAGTCTCCATGAATGCCCAAGACGATGAATCAGGAAGGGCAACCACAGCCCTGTAGAGAAGTCTGGACCTCATACCTAGACTTTGCAATACAAAAAGGCGGAAGTAGCCAGGGAAACAGGGTTCATAAAGCAGTTCATAAACTGGAAAATCAAAAAGGCCCCACTGACTTCCAGGAAAGGAAAGGCAGCCCACAGCCAAAAGAAATGTAGCAGAATGATCCCTGTAAACTTGGTTCTGTGTCAGCAGAACTGCAGGTTTTCTTGCACAGGGGGTATTAGAAAGCTCACTGCAGTGTGACCAAAGCTGTCTTTGGTCAAAAAAGCACCAACATTTTAGCCTTGTGGTGCTATATAATGCAGTGACCTGTAAGAAGTTATTCTAAGTTCTGTAAGATGCTTGTTCTTTTCATAACACAGATGAATGGAAGTCCGTGGTGAGGTAGCAACCCTCCAAAACACACATACTGCTCCTGGCTTTCATTCTCATGTCAGTGTTTACACCTGCCTATCCTCCCTTCCGTAACTACAGGTGTTCCATCATCCTGCTGTGTCAAAGCAGCCTGTACTGCTGACATCTTCACCATCAGGTTTTGCATTGCTCCTACAAGTCGGTGAAAACAACTGCCACACACTTGCAGTTTAAGCAGCAGCGTTCCGTAGCAGCTGTAACTTACAGAGAAGTCAGCAGGTGGCACCCAAGAAACACTGATGCGCTTCACTCGACCACGCTCAACTGTTCCCTTCGCAGATTCAACAGTGAATCCCTTCTGCTGCAGGAGCGACAGGCCATCAAAGCTGAACTTCACGTTCTAGGAGACAAACACAACACGCCCTCATGACAGCCAGTTCTGCTCCTTCAAACACAATGAGAGTTTATTAAAGGCTGCGTTGCCCAGATGCTACATGTGGGCCTACTGCTTGCCAAATCGCTTCTGCCCTTTGAAACAGCAAGTATCCGTCTTGTTCACTGTGTCAAGTTGTCACTAAATACTATATGAAAATAACAGGATGAGACCTGTAATTCAGTTCTGTGCTCAAACTTCTGTATTTCAGAAATAGGGAAGCAAAGTGCTAAATTAATTTTGTTGCTGACTTAATATGATAATTTAAATTCCTCATATTAGCCCCTGAAAAAGAATATTTTCTTTTCAAACACTGATGCTTTTATAATGCAAAGCTTATCAGAGACCCTGAAAGCTGTATTTTTTAATTAATAGGCTGAATTTTTGACAGAAAGAACTAGTAGCCATTTGCAGAGTCAGTATTCCTTACAGCCTCTGACGTAAAACTGCACTTGTTATTCTCTTCACCTTAGATGCAAACTGAGCTGATTGTATAGCTCCAACTCTCAGTTCTGCTGTTGCTGGCACTGGAGAACCCTCTCCCTCGATGTACTCCAGAATGAGGAGAATGGATTTCACTGGTTCTTCTAGCTCTAAACAAATATGAATCAAGTAAACTTTGAGACAGTCAACACTGAGCAATTATCAGTTTGGAACAAGCATAAATTACACCAGGATGGTTCAAAACAAAGTGATGTGGCAAATTCATGAGTTGGCACAGATAAGGAGATCCTTCTTACAGAGTTAGTGAAGAATTAAGCAAAAGGAGGTTTTGCATCATCTGCAATTGCAAACTGTAATTGTTAACTGCTTATCAAGTTTAATGCTTGTTTTCTAGCCCCATGGCACATACATTATGTCTACTATATTCCTACTTGTCTGTGGTATGTGCTTGGACTTATTTATAGCTCAGGAGCTAGGAGTTGCTTATGTACTGTCTCTGAACACAGATCCTGTCCAAAGGAAGTAGGGAAGGACAAATTCAAACCCCTCAAAGTGGGTCTGTTTCATAACAGTACAATGGGGAGAGTCCAGGATACATTATTATATATGAAATAATTTTATAAACATTTAATAAAAATCAGAATTGGCAGAAAGCAAATACACCAAATACACCTTAGTACTTCATAGTAGTATTAAATTATAATAATTTTTTGCAAGGTAAGTTGCAAAGATAAAAGATCATCATTAAGATATAACTGTATTAAAACTAGGAGAAAACCTTTTCTTAAGAGAAAGTTTCCTGCATTGTTTTTGTGTTTTGAATATAGGCTATACCATAATGCTTATTTGTTCTGATTCTGGAAAAGTTGTCTTTAATTTAGTTTTTCTTAAAGGATGAGGAACATTCACATGTCTTTTCACTCCCTATTTGCTAATAAAGTGGTAGTGTGTTACCTCCTTTGAGTGCTTCCTGCGGCGACACAGGTAACGTCACAGCCAAGGACTCAATGGGCACGTCTAGTGGAACTCCCCCTTCCACAAACATCGGGTGGTCTCGTGCTGCACCCTTCAGGTGGATCACATGGGCTGTTTTCTATTTAAGACAAGAACGCTTCAAATGCAGGAATACTGACACAACAGCACCGGTTGCTTAGAAACTATTACATCATCTGCCTATACAAATGCCCAGAGGCCCTGTACACTAATGCAAGAGTCCTACATCTTCCCCCTGTCTGGTCCACTCAGACACTTCTGTGTTAAACAACTTTTCATTCTTGGGCAATGCGCCTCAGGAGGGGACTTGGACAAACTATTTACACTAAAGCCACTAAAAGTGGCAAAACTTGTCTGCTGCCAAACTTGGCTGGAGTTTGTGAACTAGGACCAGTCTCTATTCATCTTCAGCTTATCCCGATTTGCATTCTTAATCTCAATTCCAAAGATAATGTAGAGATACAAAACCTGAAAGGAGAGAAACGGTACTGATTTGCTCACTGCCAGTTTCTGCTCTGAGTTTGCAGTGCCTGTGGATGGTCATTAGCTGGCACTCTTCATTAACTTTTGGTCAGTCTCTTTTGGAACACGGCGTAAAGCCACCTGCTGTGCCACCAGCCTGTGCATCCTGACTTGGGCTCCATCTCAGCTCCACTGCTGCTCTACAGATTGAAACCTCCTTCCTCATGCTGAGTGACTGCAGAAGCAGCCTCCAGGTACTCAGTGTGTCCATCAGTTTGCACTGGGCAGGTGTAGCTCTGCTCTCCACCAGCACTAAATGCTACGTGCAGAGAACCAACCCCCCTTGAGCTGTGCTCAGCAGTGTGGCAGAGTCCTAGCTCCCACCACTGCCCATTTACACAGTGCAGACAGCTGGGCAGAAGACTGGACTGAATCCCAAGTCACTGGTGTTATGAATTAATAACCAAATACTTAAAATTTGAAAAAAGTGGGCCCCGAACCTGCCATCTCCTACCTACATGACTTAATCTAATGAAGGTAGTAATTTTGCCTACAAACACTATGCACTAGATATAATTATTTGAAACTCCTACTAAGACTCATGCTGACAAAAATCACTGTAGGTCATATTTAGACTTTGATTTCATAAGCCAGGTATCTTGATTGTCTCACCTTGCCAAAGAGCACAACCTTGAGACGGTCAGAATAGTACAGACTTGCATGATCAGGACTGAAAGTAACAATGAAATCCTGACTCTTCCCAGCAACTATTTCTCCTTCTGTTGGAGAGATGCTGAACACACTTAACCCGTTATAGTTTTGTGTTCCTGGTAAATAAAAATGAGGATACAAATAAGAAAGGAAGTCAGCTCTGTTTTACTTCTTAATGTATTTTAAACCCATTTAATTTTTGTTGGGACAGCAAATGAATAAGACCTGAGACACAGTTTTGCAGCAAAACAGAGTGTTAGAAATAGCAGATAAATCCATGGTCAGTTTAATGCATTCACCTCTAGAGGAACTGAAGATGCATTGCCAAACCCTTCCTATATTCTAACGTGTTTTTACAATGATGGACACCCCTAAATATAATTTTTAATATGCAATTACTGTGTGGGTTTATTTAGATTCAAACACTAGTGTCTCCTTCCTTGTGGATATTTGCTCAGGCTGCATAAATTTGCAGCTACCCATATTGAAAGAATTAGTACAGCTCCTACTGGGGAAGAAAATTGTGTCTTTAATTTCAGTGATGTGATGCCCCAGGTTTTGACAGATGTGTAGTTCTAACAAGACAAAGTAATGCTGCCTTATACTTCAAGAGTCTTTAACAAAAGAAAAAGAAAGAGAAAAGAAAAAAACAAATTTACCAACAAACTCTGTTCTTTGCACAGAGGACGTAATAAAGGATGGAATTCTCTGCTGATCTTTGTCCCTTGTTGGTGAAAGTGAATCAAGTTGTATGGAGTATCTCAGGGCCAGTGTGGAAGTGTTCTGTATCTGATGACATTAATTTACACAACAGCATTTTCATTAAGAAAATTGATTCTCAAATGTGTAGGATCCATATTTTGTGAACTGTCTGAATTTATTTTGCTGCATTACTGCTCTGCTGAGTGCCCGGACACCACCGAAAGCATGCGTAACTGCCATACACAACACGTCATGCCAACCCCCGCCCCCTCACAGCAGGAACCAGGCTCCTTTTAAGAGTCTTTCAGCAAGGAATATATTTTGGTTATTGACATACTTGGACAAAATCTGGGAGGAGAAAATTTATGCCTAGATCTTGGCTGGTTTCTGAGTCTCTGGGAATTTGCAGTACATGAATGAGTGAATCAGTTAAACTTCCTTAGACTGTACCATGGCAAACCCTCATGTGCTCTTTGTAGGACCAGTTTTGCATTTCACCCATGCACCTCTCTCTTCGTGTGAGCACAGAGCAGCTGCGTACAGGCTGCAGGCAGGACAGAAGCAGCTAACAAGATCCTCCCCACACAGCTTTGTTACCTTTGTCCTGAAACTGTCTCAGCGTCAAATCACTCTGCCAGGCGTGCTTTTAAGGCTATGTTCTTTTGCCTACAGTTTGTCGCCCAGGCTTACATTCTGGCAGACTAGAAACTACAGAACTCCTCTTCTTCCTTACAAAAAATTGCTGATGTGCTTTCTAGGTCAGCATAGAGGGATTTACCTTGAATGTGGCAGTCGCCTTCTCGCTGGCTATGACATATCCCATATCGAGTACATCTCCCACAGAGCAAACAATTGATGGCATCACCCCGTGACCACTGATCCTTAGGGCGAGGTTGGTTTTTGCTGTCCAAATGTCCAGTGTTTCAAAAAACTGCCAAGAGGAGGTTTGTGTCAGCCCATTGCTGAAGGAAAACACCTTCCACACCTCCAACTGACCACCTACCACAAATGGGCCATGAACACTAAGCTTCTGGATTTAGTGCACAAAGATCCAAACACTGGGAGGGACTATGTACAGGCAAAGTTTTTATTATTATACAGCCTCATCCCAGTCACATCCCACATGTATATTACAGTGTGTTACATCTCTCCTCTTTTTCCCCATTACTGTTGTATCTCTTACTCACCCATTTACTCTCGTTTGGACAAAAGGAGATGATGAGGGGTTTATTTTCACCTGGCTCAAGCATTCCAACTCGTCTGACCAACAGGAAGGGACCACTGGGATTCAGAACTGAGAATCCTAGCTGAAATAATGCAACTCAAGGAAAAAAGTTTATAAACAAAAATTGGAGAAAAAAAATATAAGAACATATTCCACGTGTTGTTCAGACCAAAGATGTATAAACCAACCATCTCTAGGCTTTTTCAGAGATAAATAACTAAGAGAAAAGAACTAATCCAATTATTTTTTTTCCTCCCATGGAATTCAAATAGCTGCAAGATACTTTTCCAGTTAATAAGATTTCGGTGTAACTCTATTTTCAGATTTTGCCTGGAATGAGCCCTCTAAGATCAGGGATATGCTTTCTCCTATATTACCCTACACAGCTTAACCCAGACAAGCCAGTGTAGCAGCTTCTTACACAGAAATTCAGAGGAGCTTTGTGCAAAAACTGAGTTCTTGGTTCTATTTCACATGTACGTCAGGCTTTCTCATCAGTACCTTATACCTTTTAGAAAGTGGTTAAGTGCTTCTCAAGTTTGGCTCTATGCAGGATTATTTGCCATTAAAAGGGTGGAATGGAATTAGCTTTCCAGTAGCTCATGTGGGATTGTCCACTATATTCTTCACATCACCTCCTGACCCACCCTGAAAGACGTGTATTAAGTATGAAACCTGCTGCCTCCTCCTTGCTGTAGTATCAAACAGTTCCTACAAAGACTCAAACTAAACAGACGCTGAATGGCAGCTTAACTTACATCGTCCAAACAAGGATACTTCCAGCTTCTCTGGGGAGATATTTTGTATTGTAATGTGCTTCATCACTCTGTGGCCTGACAGGAATGAAAACATTTCAAAAAGTGATGATGTTCACTCGTGCACTACCATTCCTCCGTTTTACTCATGCTTCTAACTGGGTCGAACATTCATTCCAGTTCTATGGCTAATACATTAGTCAAAGCTCACCAAAATACCTACAGACTTGGACAGTCACTTGTAGAGCTCCCAGTCCCATGTTTTGGGATCAAGTCTGCTTTTTACATGCCTCAGCTGGCCAGACATGTTCCTCATTTTCCACCCAAGTACCTATTACAGGGCTAATTTCCATATTGACTTTTGAAAATCAACTAAACAATGTAAAAGAAAATGCAAAACTATGCTCAGAAAAAATTAATGTCAGACAGAAAAAATTTAAAATTTCATACCTACTGCAACATCACCAAAGTTTACTGTGTCTCTTCCATTATCTGAAGTGACCACAACAGATGGTGCTACAGCGGGACAGTGCAACTCCAGATACAAGGTGTTGTAAGGGCTAGAGAAATAGTAAAAATATATTTGCTCTTGGATCACACAAAAATAAAAATGATTATCAGAAATGTATTCTTATTGTGTTCATACCACAGGATATCATTACATTGGTATTAAAAAAAATACTGAATTTTTGGTGGCTTACTTTTTTGTGTATGCCTGACCAGAAACATGAACTACATCTGGCTTAAATTTTTCATACAATTATTCTTTAAGCTGCTTTGATATTCATATGGTTGATTCTTAACCAATTAGTGGGTTGTAAGCATGAGTTTCTACTACTGACCTATGAAGTAATTAAGATCAGAAAACAAATTTCTTCCTCCAATGAATACATTAATATGCCCACCATTTCCCCCTCAAATTTCTGAACTATCAGGAATTGCACACAGCTAATTACAAATACCTGCAGCTTAGGTTTTCAGAGCCTTTCTTTTCATCAATATGTCCACTTGCAACAAAGCATGGTATGATGTATTTTTCGAACCTCCCACTGAAATTCCTCATTAGGAAAGCCTGGGCTTCCATATAAGCATCAGAACTAGAAAATCCAGGAATAGGAATCATCTTAGTAAGTGAGACAGCAAGAAAAAAAAAAATCAGATATCTACTGAGCTATTCCTGTTTACTGTTCTAGTCATACATTCAAAATTGAATGTAACAGTGAAACTGAGTGGCTGTCTTGACCCACTCTACTAAGTGGCTTGCTTTTCTTGCCAAAAGAGAATAAAAATTATAAACCCTGATAACAGATGTTATACTAAAGACTGCAAAATCCTCAATACAATTTCCTGATGTTGAATACATTAAGTATTCCATTGTCTTCCAGTACTTCTACATCATTTTAGTGAGATGTAAACACACATGATCACATTTCTGTAATGCAATATGCCAAGCAATGCTTCATAATGGCAGTTTTAAAATACAATTTTTATTTTTATGACCTGCACTGAAAGTATTTAAAAATTATTACTAATGTATTGCAAAAAACATGAGATTTTAGTCAAAAATACCTAACATCCAGTATAGCCCAGTGTCTAGTGTTTAAGCAGGTATTTATTTCCAAACATTCCTGAATTCCTCAAATTAGGCAGAAGTGTGGTTTTGAAAAGTGGAATTATGCTAAACAAGGACCTCAAGTATCAGATTTTGCATCTAAGTATCCAAATTTCAGATAGCACCTGCTATTAATGTTACTTCTCACTGCGGTACACATATTGTAAAACGACTATTTAAAATGCACGTTTTACAGCATCCTCACATTTCCAGGACTGAAGATGACCATGACTATTATGAAGGACTATGAGCCCTCAAAAAAGAAAATTAACCCAAACCCACGGGCATGGGCCATCAGATGGTTTCCATCTGGGCTGAACACAGTCAGCTCTGGCAGAGCTATTCAGAAAAGGTCTATCAGCAGCACTTTCTTTGGTAACCAAGTTCAGCTTTCTAGTTGCCCTGTAAATAATACCCTCGTTGGTTCAGCCAAGTTTACCCATACAGCCACATCTCATGCTTTCTGACATATTCTTTGAAGTCTTTAATCCCTCTGATGCATAAAGGGATTCTTTGCCGTACATGAGAGGGTACAGCTGTGTGGCTTAAAAGCAGCACTAATTTTGGAAACAGCCTTTGCAACATAGCTACAGCTATTTCTTCTCCACAGTTTGCTTTCTTGTCTGCCTGTAGTTTTTAGTATATTTTATTAAACTACTTAAAGAGAATGTTGCCTATGCAGTACAAGACGCTTTTGCCGACTTACTCAGGCTTTAACTCTTTGGATTCCAGTTGTTCAGAACTACACTGAGAAGTCAGATATTTACTGCCTCCATCCTTCACAAGTTGTCTGGAAGAATGCTGTGTGGTGATGGAATTTCTTAATTTCTTTCCCTCTCTCTTTTCATCTTTCTTCCTTTTCTGCAAATACACAGACATTATACACTGAGGGCGGTCACTGGTAATCCAAGCACGACATCGGTTTACAAATACAGTCCCTGGCCCAAGGATACAGAACCTAAGAGGTGACAGAGTGCATGAAACAAGGTAACAGCAGCAGCATTACCGTAACAAGCCATAGACACAGCAGTCATTACATACATTTCTAATAAAGTAAAATTAAATTGAGATGGACACGTTTTACCCCATCTTAAAAAAAAGAGTTCCCCTGTTGGACTGTATCTCTCATGGGAATTTTACATCTTTATCTCATAATTAAAGACAACCATAGGTGCTCACAGAAATTAACTGACCCACAGCATTGCATATAAAGTCCATGTATGCTGTGAATCTGCAAGAAGCAAAGAAACTCTTTTTTTAAGAATACTTGCAGTTAGCATTTGCAAGAAAATCCTCTAGGAATGTTTTTGAAGTTGTTAGCATGAAATTAAATTATGGCTCAGTGAACAGACTACACACTAAGTGCAACGGTACGGTCATACTATGGTCCTTTATAGGCAGGTTAGGACTTTGGGCTTCATTAATATGGAAATAATTTTATGATAAAAATACCATCAGCGAAACAAATATCTGGAAGTAACAGACCAAAAGCATGTGCCAGTTCTCAGCATTCCTTACTTGTATTTCTGCCTCTGCTGCAGCTGCTCTGCAAAGCCTCCGAACTGCCTCTTCTCTGATTAGCTGATCTGACAACGTTGGTCTGAAGGACACTTGAATCAAGCTTTTCTGGGAGTGTGAGAGCATGCACAAGAAGGATAGGCAAAATTCAACCCCCATACATGTGTTACAACTACAAAGCTCAACACTATTTCAAACAATACAAAATATTCCAGCTATTCTAATAATAATTTACATTTTGAGCTTCATTTACAAGTGACAGCATTTGTAGGGATGTAGGGGATCCAAAGATTTGGCAGAACACTTGACGTTTAAAGTGAATTTACCTTCCCAGGCAGCACAGTTCCAACAGAAGGTGTAATTGTCACTGGACAGTCTGCTGGCACACAGAATTCAAAGGAAGTGGGTCCAACAGGGGCAACTTCCCCATTGCCAATTCTTGGGACAGCACGAGTAAAGTGGTTGAGGCTCACATGGGAATTCATCACATACAGTGTTGCTGTAGACACACCATTTAAAGCTGTTGCAGCAAACTGAACTAAGGAATGAGACAATTCAAGAGGTGGGTGGACTCCAACTGCTTTGCATGACAGCTTGAATTGCCTAAAAATAAACACATGATAAATTGTCTCAGCATAAAATAGTCTCTTAATCAGCCTGGAAAATAGGGAACTAATCCTGTAGTCCCTATTTAAGCAGAATTTCAGGCTTGCAATGGGAATTTTGCCTGAAGATGAACAACAATACTATCTATTTTTAATGCACAATTGGCTAGAGTCCCTACTTGAATTCTTCCTCTGAACTTCTAGAAATACATCCAGTCAAATCAAAGTTTATGCCATCATTATTTCAGTAGGATTAGCTTAATGTATGAAGCATTTAAAAAAAATAATCCTTCATTAATTCTGCTGAAAAAGCAAGCAGAACATTGCAGGTTAAGATGACCTGGGGCAAACTGCAGCTTGGGTATGTGAAAGGATAAGTTTCGGGTGGGACAGGAAAAGTCCTCTGAGTATAGACAGACTTGTACATGGAGGATGAAACTCACAGGTACTGAGCCACTCTTGTCAACTGCCTCACATTTTTATCCTAGCTTTACCCCTTCAAAGTAGGCAGGGATTTAATTTCTGAACTAGCTTAACAGTGGAAATCCAGTGTGATTTAGACTTCTAGATTACCTGCTACTCAATCAGTTTCTTAACATACCTGTTAATCTCTGACTTGCAGGTTAGCTCAAAGCTGTACTCTTTTGCCTTGTTAGCTTTAAAGATTATGTCCAGTGTCAGGCTTTCAAGGGGAAGAATAATTCCAAATCCATCATTGGGCTGAATTTCAACAAACTTCAAAATGGCAGGATATGAAATTATTGTTATTAAAATAAGAAATCATTGGTTACATTATCAAATTATTGAATAAATTAAGGCATTATTGGCAATATTATAAAATTTTGTTAATAAATGTACAAATGTCAGGAAAACAGAAAGCTTCTAGTGAGAAGGTTTCCTGTGAGTTAGTGACTAGTGTCTGACTGATGTATATTTTTCTATTCTCAAAGTAACTTGAAAGACATTAAATCCAGTAACTCAGACTTCAGTTGAATCTCTTCCCCAGCTTATTACCACCCGTGGTAATCACCTTTCTCTAATGATGTTTATTTACTCTTCATAGACAACTGAATGAAACATGACAAAACCTCAGCAGCTCCTCCTGTATCTTTGAAGAGCCGATTCCTGTACGATGTGCAAATACCATAGTGACAAGAACCAGTTTAATATCTACAAATGTGTATTGGTTTGTGTTTATGAGTTAATGATGATTCAAGAATGTCTCCCTGTCACATTTTAAGCTAATCATGCAACACATGTTGTGAAGTAAAGCTTTAACAAAGCTGAAAGTTCCAATTTCTTTTAGCTAGCTCCTTGATTTTAATCCCTAAAACAGCAGAGAGAGGGAGAATGTCTGATTAAATGTCAGGTTCCTCTAGCTCCGATTCCAATATGCCAAGCCACTTCACACTGCGATCATCATGCTATTATGAAGCTTCAACAGCTACATTTTGGGGGAAAAAAAAAATAAAAAAAATCAGTAGACTTAGCCCACACGAAACTGGCAGCCCCTGTGATTAATTTAGCTTCCACATCAACTTATATTCAGTCAGAAAATACCTAGGCATGGTCAGGGGATGTTTCCTAATTAGCAGTTTGGACATGGCCACCCTGCTTTAAAGACAAAGCGTTTCGGCGTTTGCATGGGACCTGTGCGATACTCCTCAGCCTCAAAGCCAAAGCAACATCCTTAAGCCTGTTTTATTTAGTAATATAAATGACCTGTCAATCTGAAAGAAAAGTGCACCAGGTATTCTGTTAGTAGATTTCTTGGTGTAAAAAATAGGTGTTCTGTTAGGCTATCTTTATCCTAGTAAGGTTATGTAGGTGAGAATAGCAAAATCTCCTCAAAGGTGTTTATACTGCTTGGAAATTCTTAGGGTATAAAAAGATGGAATTTACAGAAGCCAGTACCAGAATTAATCTGCGTGTTTCCACAGTGCTGCAGGCAGAAGTATTTCCATGAGTTTGCAATAAACAGTGATGATTTATTTACACTCACATTGAAACATGTTTTCATAATAGTTAAATATATTTTAATACAGGAAGAGATGTGTGTGGGATACCTACGTACCTCTGGAAGTCCCACAAATCCAAACTCTTGGGGCAAGATGGATTTGTTTGTTAGCATGACCTTTGCCTGCACAGCTTCATAGATGGTGCAGTATCCAAAATCGATTTGTGCTGGACTGATTTCCAAATCAGAAGCAGTAACAATTGCATGGACAGTACAATTGACCTTTTGAGCCTGAAATAAGTGCAAGAGCACAGGATAAAAACCTCCATATGTACCTCCTCCTCCTCCATCCAAGGACAGGACTTAAGTGAAATATCACCCAAAAAGATAACTGCAAGAAAAGTTCCTCTACTCTACTGCTTGACAATAACATATGTAAATGTAACATATCTGTCTTGAACTTCAGCCTCATTGTTCTCCAAAAATAAGCAATGGGAAATGTCTCTTTGATAAGCAAAGTTAAAAAGAAGTTAGTATCTGTATCTGAAATTCCATATACTAGAATGGAATGACACCTGCATCTCCAAGAAATGTAAACTCTAAGAATATGCTACATCTGCAATATAGATCAGAATAAAGAAGTTGTGCTGTGGTGTCTGATAACTCTCTGGTACAAAACAAACTACGGGGGAACAGATGAGCATGACCTAGAAAGGATTTAACTTTCTGAATTGTAAACATGCTGACAAGAAACTATAAAATCTGTATTATCACTTCAAGCACCTTCTACTAATATCATAGGACTTCAACTAGTAAAGAACTAATCTAAGATGAGGTATCATTAAGTGAACAATCATTAAGATAATTTACACCTATTGTCATCCTGATAACCAGCATAACAAAAATCACTGACCTTATCCACAACCAGTATTGTCACAGGAACTTCCAAAACTCTTGTCTCTTCATTAAAATAGCTCCCCGCATCTTCAGGAAGAGAGTGCCTAGAAATCGAAAAGTACATTCAGTTTCATAAAAATATTTTGACTATTTTCTAGCTAAAGGGAATTATAAACTTCTGATGGATGTATTTCTGAACAAAAAAACCCTGTTATTTAAGGTCTAAAAGTTTAATTATTGACAGCTTTTAATCTTAACACAGTATTTGTGCTCAAATAGGAGTATCCACATATATAATTGGTTAAACATCAGCTCAAACGCTTCAGTAGAGCCAAGCCTAACTCAAATCTTGTATACAAGATATATGTGAGTAGTGGGGAGATGGTGGAAGAAAATGCCAAAACTAGTTACCTATGAAGTTCCACCTTCCAATCAAGAAAAAGAAGATGCAGTCAGATCAGAAATACAACAGACTTGTCACAGATTTCCTATAGAAATGTCATGCTAAATTCTTTAGGATGGCAATGATGAGGGAAACAAAATTAACAGTGGTCAGCAGGAGTGCTTGTACTTAAATCTTTTAAAACTGGAATGCTTTGTTTGCTATAACTGAGTTATGTTTGCATATGTAGAAATATCATGAAATGAAGAAGAGAAACTTGCTGGAATAAGGATTTTAGCATCTTGGAAGATGTTATCTGAAATGCCACATGAAATTCAACATCAATACATTTGTATTTTGGAGAAAAATATATGTGGGTAGGATAGATACAAACAGGAAGCCCAACAATTCTTACCTTAATTAGCAAGCACAGGAGTTCTTGTCCAGAAATTATGTGATCAGTGATCCATGAAGCAGCCACCTGCCCAGATAACCTGTCTCTCGTGTAAGAATAGCTTCCCCCCAGAAACGGGAGCAACCTACCGGGAATGCAACTGCCAAGATATGCACACTGCTGCTGTCACCACAGGAGCAGCATTTCCTCACAGGTGTGTGATCCAAGTTAATTTCCTCCTTGAGCATCTGGCAACTTTTAAGGGGGAGAAGGGGGGAGACCAGAACTGCATTGACACCAACAGCGGGAAGTCCAGACTGCTACAGTGTAAGGGAAGAAAAACTTTGACCTGCTCAGGTTTTCCACTGCCAGTCTCCTACAGACATTGTCTTAAATACTGAAAAGATTAACGTTGTTAGGGTACCTGGGCAGAAACTTCAACTGCACACTGCAGGACGACTGAGGTTGAATGTAGCCTGTCTTTGGAAGCAGCTCCATGTGCTTACTCAATTCTCTGCATACTTCAAACTTCAAACGCAGCGTAGCTTTTGCTCTGCAAACAGATCAGACTTCAGTTGTATTCTCTTTTAAGATATGTATAGAAAACAAGATTTTGGAAGTACTGTAAGTAAGCCCAGCTGTATTTCAAGCAGTGTACACAGCTGATCGGGATATAATTATCAAAGCACAGCACAGTGGTAGGTCAAGCCAGGGGAAAGTCAAAGACACATTATTGTCAAATACCAGCTAATTATTTGCTCCCAGCATACATTCCCTCTATCTGCATCAGTAGGAATGACTCATTTGAGACACCTAACTGGTCCTAGCTGCAGCACAGAACCCACTCAAGATGGAAAAAGAGTTGTCTTCCTGTGATACTGGATCTAGGTTATGTAACAATTGGTGGTGGGTGGGAAACAACAAGTAAAACCCCATTATTCTGCCTGAGAAACAGAAAAATGAAGACCAGCAACCCCTAAGTGGGCCCAAGGGTACTTAGATGCTGCTTAAGTGGCGAAAAAGCACTTAATGTCCCAGCCTGTAGCGAGAAGAATCAAAAAATGAATCTGAAAGAGCATAATATACCTAAAATGTCAACATGTACCCAGTTAGTGAATTCCATTCATCCTTGTTATCATCATAATTACCTGAAAACCTCCGACACCAAAAATTAAGCCTGTACAGGCAGGAAAAAAACTCAAACTCAAGGTGGGGCGGGGGGGCTATCATAATTATGCCAGGAATGCACTGAGAACACTGCTGCTTTTGGTTTTTCTCCCCAAAACCATGGTGACTTCTTTTAAATAGATGTGAATTCACAGATCTCTTGTAACTTCTCCTCTAACAGCAGAGATTCTACAGGGCTAGAAGTCATAGTGTGGCAAAGCTGCTACCGCCGGTTTCTCTAGTAAAACGTGGGACCAATTTGCCCTGTGGATGGCATTTTGGACAGCAGGAAACATCTCCCTGCTTATTGTATTCTGGCCATGTTATAATACAGCAATAGCCACAAACCATACCCTGCTTTGGAATTTTATGCCTCTGTGCAAAATTGCCAAGCAATTTACAAATATTTCAGCTTGTCATTTTCCTTCTCTTGGGCTGGTTTACAAGCTGTCAGTCCAGATGGTCTGCTCTAAATCAACAACGATAACATGTGGTGCTGGGAGCCTGGAATGATTTCTGACTGTTAACAATTTAAGAGAACTATATACTACTTCATTAAATCTGTGCAGATTATAGCCTGCCAAAGAAATTACTTTGCAAAGTGATTTATATTGGATAGGATTCTAATAAGACACCTTCAGTCTTTATGCTGTTTATTTATGCTGTATTCTGTGTGACCAGGAACCAAAACCAAAACAAAACCCAAATAGAGGGGGGAAAAAAAAGTACACGCTAATATTTTCCAGTTCTAGAGAGCTTGCTGGGGCACCGAAGTGCCAGAGCTCTCTATCTAACTTGAAAACTTGATCATCTACTTCTGCTCGAGACTACAATGTCATAGGCTGCAGCAGCAATAAGGCAGACAAGTTCTTTCTGCTTTGCTTCTGTCAGCTGCTTGTGTGTACTGGTGGTGAATGAAAGGCTATTCTAACATGTCACCTCCCTCTGGTCTGGGTCAGATTCTTCCCCAAAAATCTAAAGAAATCTCTTGCTACAAGTTTCAGGTAGTTTGTTTTCTTTGTGTGTTTGTTTGTTTGTTTCTTTTCTATAACTAGTTAGAGATTGGAGCAAAGATTTGTAAGAATATTCCTAAATAGCAGGATTATTTAAGTATCTAATTAACATTTAATTAAAGATTCTGTGTTCTAGAAGTTACGCTAATAAGATTTCACACATACTGGATCTGAAATTTAGTTCTCACTAAGATTTTGGCAGTTGTTAGACAAGCAGCCTTTGCGTTTCAGCTGGGCCATGGTAACCTTGCCTTCGGTCTCCTGCAGTGAAGGTTGCTGCGAGCATTAGTTCACAGACACTGTGGTATCTCGTTAGCATCAATACACAGTTCACGGGTAAAGCCGTTTGTATGTTGACAGCAGTTTGCACACTTCTTTGCCAGCCTGGTAACCGCCCTTGGCTCTGGATCCTTTGTGCGTAGTTCTAGACCACAGACCTTAGCAACCACCTTGCCCCAGCTTTTCACTATTGCAATTAAAATACAACTACCTATAGTCTAACCTGAGAAGTTGTCTTGACTGATAGTAATTTGTAGCTATTTTCAGCAGTTTAAATTCATTCAGTTTGAGAAGTGGTTTGACATGTACCACGTAACAATGAGGAATCCTTCCTGACACACACTGCAGAAAAACTTCAATAGCTATGAGCTGAAGAAACTTCTTAGGCACCACACCTAGCTGAATGACGAAATCTACCTAATCTTGCAGCATAAAAAGTTGAGATATGATATTCCTGCACATGAAATATAGTCATTTGGGCTGAAACAAATTTAGTGAAACTTGCCAAAGCATCAGCAGGATTTTTCCTCAGTTAAGAAGTTTTGCCCTAAGCAATCTGACAGCTTCTATCTTTGAGATCCCCTTGAAATCTTAAGTTTTCATTAGGAGAGTTATTCTGCTTCTGTACTTACAGGTTTTATCCCTGGGTTATCTAGACCAAGTAAAATCACTTACATAACAACTTGTGCTTGTCATATCTGTAAGCTGAATTTCTGAGATAACAGCTTTACTCGTTTCTTTCCGACTGTGAAGAATCTCTGCAGTCTGTAATTCTGGTAAGAGGTTTAGAATGGATGCCTTCTACAGAACCAACCTCTCCCCCACCCTCCCACAAACCCACCCTAATCATGTTTAAATAGAATCTAAGAAATGCAAATTGTTAAAATAAGCATTCAGTGGTGACTGCATTAGGTAGAGGGAAGACACCCAGCACCTGGAGACAATTAAGAGAGTAAAGATTCATGTAACCACTCTCTAATAGCATGAAATCTCTGGGAGCCAAAGCACTGAAATATTATCTTTATATTACAGTGCAAACAGAACCAGTCTTCAGACATTACTGACTTGGGCTGCAGAAACACCCAGATATTTTTTCCCCTGTAAATCCGTATTTGGTCACTATCTGTGTACTTATAAGGTATCTGTCCACTCCAGTGCAGTGCTTAATGGCTATACAGGTTAGGAAAAGATGGGTCTGGCAAAACGGAGCCACAAGACATCACCTAGTGACTGAAGATCTCAGGATTTAGCTGTAGAAGGCAGCTGGTAATGCAAGGGCAGCTCACCTGCTTTGAATGGCAATGCAATCCTGATACAGTCGGTCATACATACAGATCTTGAAATCAATGTTGGGATTGGGCACCCAAACCGGCACGTCAATAGAAACGCCAACGGCACTGAAGCACAGCTGTTAATACAGAAATTGAGAGTGTAACTATTTTTGTTAGTCTCAAATTCTTACTGAACTAGACAGAGCAAAAATTTCTGCTGTTAACTACAGCTGAGTAAAATATTTTATTATTCATATTGCAACAGGTTCTTTAATTAGGCAAAGCTAAGAAATAATTTGTAAAATAAACCCAAGATGTTATGGTGTCCCAGCAGGAAAAAAAAATTGTACTTCGGTTGGGATTCTTTGATAGAGAACACAAACGAATAGCATGCTGCCCATGATATTTAAAATAAATTTTTGAAGTGCACCTAGCTTAAGTGAATGTGCCATAATTCAGAAACTCCAGAGTCTGCAGCTTGTTTAGCCAGCAAAGAAACACAGTAATGGCAGCACAGTGCCGTACTTCCTCCCATCAGTGACCACCTAGCTCAGACTCGGATAAAATGACCCCAGAAGAGCGGGTACCCACAGGGGCCTGCAGCATCCATCTGTAGACCGTGGGGAGAGCCAAGACTGGCCTTCTGAGCTCCTTGCAAGTTTGTCTTTATTTTTTTGGCAAGCTTCTGTGAACTGTTCCCAGGCAGAATTTGGCTTCCAATAAAGTGTGGAACCAAAATGTACTGAAGTGGTAACTGAAGTTATCTCCTCTTCCAGCTTTCACACATCAGTTTCACCACTGCATGCTAAATAATTCCAATTCTGATATATCAGAAAGGAAATAAACTACATGGGGTGGGAATAGAGAAGAATACTTTCATATTTGTTTCCAGGACATTGGATGTTTTCCAGTATGATGTCTGATAAAATGGAAATATCAGGATTATTTGCATAGAAATTTAAGAGAATCAACGGGTTTAATAACCATGCTGCATCAGAAAGAAGGGCCACGATTTACCTCCCATCCAACCACATAATACATAATCACACGGTACCTCAGGGTTCTTTCTTATAATGTTTATAAACACATCTGTCCTCTGCCTCATTCTCCTGTTTCTAATACAGGATTCTGAGCTCCTACTTCTGCTTTTCCCAAGAATTAAGAGGATTTTAAACTCTTTTTCTAAAGCATTTAGAAGCAAGTCTTGCACAAAATCACTCACTGGTTTGCAGTCTGAGTTGTCAAACATGATCACAAACTCTTCCCGCACGTCCCCAGGGATAGCCGGGACAAATATAATCTGAAGTTTGACTGAGCTGAAGGGTCCAATTTCACCCTCAGTAACCTACACAAGAAATAGCATGTTTTTAATTAAAATCTGACTGTATGACTGTAGCTGGCTATTCATTGTGTTGAAATGAAGACGCAGTGCATACTCATACTATACAAACACCATATTACACCTGGCTTGTAACTAGATTGAATGTCTTATGCAAGGGAAAAATGAGCATCAGTAGCTCCCTAGGAGGTTCACTGTGGTGAAAAAAACTTGGCATGACATATGGCTTCACAACCAGGTGCAGTCAGAATCTTAGAGTCTCATTTTACTTCAAGATACAACCATTCAGAGATCTGCTCTACTGATTTCAGCGTTTTGTATGCATGGGTAGAAGCCATAAATGCTGGTATGGGCTGGTATCTGGACTCTCACACCCAGGTTCTTTAATACAGCCCAAGTTTGACACTTCCCAGCCGTTCTTCCTGCCCCATCTTTTGTTGTCACTAGACTTTGTACAACCACAGAACAACACAACAGAAAAATCAGTTTGACAAAAAAAAAAAAAGGTGAAATTATTAAGAAATGTAAAAGTATACAGAATCTCTCAGCTCAAATAAGTCCTTATAGATCAAAAGAGAGGGCAAATACGTAATGAGATTTCATTTAAAGAATTAACTGTGACACAGTGAAGTCCAGTGGGCTTGAAATTTATCATATACTTAAGCATTTCCCACCACAGTGAAATGTTTGATGTAGGCTTAGACTAGTGAAAATCTGGTCTGTATCAGGATATTCATTACCTTTCCAAGCAGAATTTCAACTGGTATTTCTTCAGGAGAAGGTTCCACTAAATTATGTGCATTGTCTCTGTCTAGATTTGATCTGGAATTTAATGCATCTTGACCAAGTTGTTCTGGAAGGAAAAAAAAAAATACAACCACAAAATGCTGGATGTCTGCATCTTTTCACTAAACAAAGATACCAAACAGAGCACAAGGACATTCATGTTGGTCGATACCGCAAACCCAGTTATCTTTCCCCATTGTTGGTACACATAAGTGTCCAGAAGGAGATTCTGTTTGCCCACATAACTTTGCCCTAGTCCAGAAGTCTGCCCTCAGCACCTGAGCATTCCACTACAGAACAACAGTGTTAATGTTCCAGTAGGATAAAGTATGTATCAGAGATTGTTACATCAAGGAATGCAAATTCAGATGAAAGTGTGAACTGGCCTTTAAGAACAATTTCAGTGGGACATAGCAATGCCGTCAGGAGGACCTGCAAAGCAAGTGGGACTGCTGCTTCACTTTGTTTTCAAAAGCACTGCAGTAAGAAGTACCTTTTAATTAGACAGTCTCCCATCAGGGCTTTGAAGTGCCTTAAACTAATGCATCATGAGAGAGATGAAGCTAACTCTGACCTGTACGTCAGTAATCAACCAGCAACCATCTGCTTCACGTGTACCAGGAAAAAGATCAAAGTGTCGTGAGATACATCAGTCTGCCAAAGCAATGGAGTTTAATTTTTTTTTCCCCAAGATCTGAAAACATCCTTAAAGGTATGTGTCCTTTGGAGACAGCTACTGTGATTTATGGAATTACTCAATTCCACAATAACATCCCAGATTTAAAAAAAGAAAACAAACACACACAACCTTTTAATCGAACTTTTAGTTTCCTGCAATTGGAACGATCATTATCCAGAAAAAATATTAAAGAATACAAGTAATAAAGAAATTAAGAGTGTCTTTCTTCTACAAGACTGGATTTTATTAAGCACATAGTAAACATTAGGAATGAGATGAAAAATGTCTGAGGAGGTTCATCTTTCTGCTTCCTTGCTCCTAGAATTACAGACTATAAAAATAAACCTGTCATGTGGATTTCTATTCTAAGAAGTGGGTATTCAGTTGCTGAGACAAGAATGATGATAACAATTTTGCAGTTTCTGTAAGCTCGTTGGTTTCTGTGTTCTTCCGAGACCAAGTTGTTGATCACTAATGAGAAGTGAGATTCTCTGCTGCTTCTGATATAATGGTGCCAGTACATTATTTTTACTCATTTTTTGTGAGGCAGCATACAAACAAATATAACATTACTACTAGAATGATGAACTACTTAATTTACTGAGTAACTTTGCAAACTAAGTCCACAGGTCATGACAGGAAACTCCACAAATGGCTAATGCTCAGCCAGGGAATCTCCACTGCCGGTTTTCCAGAATCATCACCTCACCTGCAGAACCGCTGCTCAGGCTCATCTCGGTCCTCTGCTGCTCTGTCTGGGCTACACAGTCCATTGCTTCTTCGCTATGGTCAGGACCAATTTGTTCCTTCTTTTCAACTACAGCTGTCACAGGACTAGTGCTGACTTTCTGTTCAAGGACACAGTCACTGAAATGTTGACTAACCTATGAGAAAACACAGAAAAACAACATTTTCTCCTCTGACTGTTCTAGCTTGCACCAACTCCAATTTTATCACGCAGTTGCAAGTCAGACTTGTGTTTTCTTGCAACTGTCCCATGTTATAAATGGAGAAATGTGTTGCATTTTCTAAGAACTGCACATTCTACTAGACCTTTACCTCAGTAAGCAGATTTATTTTTTGCTGGCTGCCCAAAACAGGTAAATAATATAATGGGAGCGATGCAGTGCAGTGTTAGTTATTTTACAATTAACAGAACTAATGTTTTTCTAGTGGAAACACCACCAGTTCTATGTCAAATCTAAGTCTGCTAAAACTAGACTTCTGCTTATTACACACCTACAAAAGACAGAATACAGAAGGAAAACCATGGATACAGATGGTGTTATTTCACAAATTCTTTACATTGAACCACGCTTTTAATGTAAGGATAGCATGAGGGTTGCAAACCACGGCAAACAGCTCAGCAGTGTCACTGCACATGTAGTGTTTAAAAAGAGAGGGCAACCCTTCTCTTAGAACTTAAAACTGGGTTACATTATCAAGTAGAGAATTCTGAAAAACATCTGAGCCAATTGCTCTTTAACAATCAAAGAAATAGGAATCATGACATAAATGACTACAAATGTTAACATGTTTCTATCAATGTAGAGAGATGCTTTTGAACCTACCATTCTTCCAGGAGAAGGTTTTGCTGTTGCTCTACATGTACTACTGTCACCTGCTGATGTCTGAACTTTGAATCTTGTGCCCAAAGCTCCACTGTTTGTCAGGGTGATGGTCCGTGAAATTGTTTCTCCCACCACATGGCTGCCAAAGTCAATGAGCTCTTTATCTAGTGCCAGCTGGGAGAAGATAAACCATTAATTACTACTGTCCCAGATAGTCAGTAACAGCAATTGAATGAGCATCCATCTTTTCAAGAACAGGACTTTAAAGTCCTTATTATCATTTCAAAGACAGTATCAAACAACATCATGAACTGTGGGCAGCCTTCTGCCTTTTTGGAGAAGCCAGCTCATTGAAGCAATGTCTTGTTAAATTGAGCTGCTTCCATTTCAGTCCACTATATGACAATGGAAAAAACAGGTTAAATTCTGCTCATAGGAACAGCTTGCGTAAGACTGCAGGTAGTTGATCTGGAGGTAGGCAGTATTTACACCCCAATTCAACATTGTTGCTCTTGTGTTACAGTAAAACGCTTTTACTAGCATCAAGCTGAGCAGCAAGCAGCATTTAACATGACAAAGCGACTGCATGTCAGTTTATAACACATCCTGTCTTGTTTCTTTGAGCTACTATGGTTTATAACTGATTTAAGTAGCAACACTCTACTGCATATAGGATTTTTAATGACTTTGTAACTGGATATATTATAACGAAAGGCATGTAATTGAAGTTCAAGCATGAAAAAGACAAAGACAACTTGGTTGCTTGCTGTATCCTGCTTACACCTGAACTCCTCCCACTTTCAGGGCATAAGGAATAGGAGTTCCTGCAGGAAATTAGCACACGACGATGGCAGGAATTCTCTAGGTGAAGAAAACTGCTCCTCTGATCAAAGACTAATGTGCTGGCTTTCTACTGCATTGTGCATTCTCACCTTCAGGGTCTTGTAACTGAAAATCATCGAAGAGTCCTGTACACACGGTCAGCTTTAAGTGTGCAACATTGATGTGATACCATTCTAGCTTCCTGCAAGTGCTTAAAATTAAGCACATCCTTCAATACTTTGCTAGGTTGCTGATACAATAATTATGGTGCACTACCTTTCAGTTACTTCCCCTTCTGTTTTCTGTGTAACAGATTATTCTTGATTCATTTCTCTGTGCACAAAAGTCTCAGTGTGCAGCCCAGTAAAGAAACCTTACATGCAATCTACATTCATACAATTTACTGAAACGTAATATTACAAACTCCAGGAAGACATTCATACATCTAAAGACTTTTTAAAATTATTTTTTAATTTTTATTATTAAGTATGCTCCCACTATGCCCTAAATTTTGCATTTGCCAGTCTTATACCAATACTGGGTGTTTCCTTGCATAATCTTTTTCCCTCTAGCTTTGTATATTCTCATCTGTAATTTATTTTGGCCTGTAAAGCCAAAGCAGTTCTTAGCTGTGAAGGAAGTAATCCAAAAGACAAAGTTGTTGCTTTTATCAAATAATTTCTTCAAGTTAGCTCAGTAAGGCTATGTAAAACAAGTCAGTGCTGCCTGTACTTTCATCTCTTAACAGTAAGAAAATGATGTTCTTTGCCTAAAACTTGGTATAGAAGTAAAAGACTTTGAGATGCTGAAAGGAGAGATTAGGTGCTTTTTATAAATGTTAGGAACGGTAGCAAGATATTGTGATTTTTGTCTACATAAAAAATTAAAGTTAAGGATAAACTACTGCGCATCTGGCATGGAATTTACAAGGAGAAAAAGACAGCTCGTTTCCAGCCACCATTTTTCTTCTCTCCATTCACAATGTAACATTGCGTCGTCAGTTTCTAAACAGAACTACTTCAGTTAATCCCATTCTGAAGTTAAAGTCACAGTTCATGGTTAAGTAAACACATTAAGATAATTCTGTATAAATCTCAGTGTAATCTGGGAAGCTAAGGAATGAATAATTTCCTGGAAAGAGGCTCTCCACTTAAGAGGAAAAAAAAGAAATAAATATCAATACCTCTTGCTAAATATTTTCAATGATGTTTACACTACCTCACATCTTCTACTACTGTTGTTATACTGACTCTGAACATACTTCTAAAAAGTCACTTACGATGCATCTCTTGGCTGTACATTTCAGTGGAACAGAAAAAGGACCAGTCTGTGCCATAAACATGACTTCTCCTTCCAGAGTTTCATTTATCTAGAAAACAAAAAAAACCTCTCAACCAAGTAATTTGCAAAGATCTAGCCTACGTAGTCTGATGAAAAATATTTTCCACTCATTCTTTGAGTAACATATCTCTACAGATTCTACATTTCCACTTTAAAATAGTCTTTGGTAACTGCCTGGCTACCTTTAGCTAGGCAGTATTATAAATCTTTTCTTTTGGAGCAAGTTCCAAAATATACTCCAAGAACACTCAGTGACAGACATTTTACACAGTTGTCCAAGTACAACAGTATCTTCTCTAGAAAAGTAGTTTGTTACCCTGTTAACCATTAAGGAATTAAATTAATGATGTTTTTAATCAGACTAGTGGATGATTAGGATTCTCATCTTTGCGCAGCTAACACCCAGGTGCACTTACCATTGGCTTAAATGTCACCACCATGTGACAGGACATTCCAGCAGACCTTTTGCCAGGTGGGTCAAAACTATGGAGATAATTAACATAAACCTCCAAATTAAAGCTCTGTATGAAACATCCAGCTCCTATTCTGGTAGCAATGGCAGCTTTTTTCATTTTTTTCCCCACTTGGATTAATTACTTAGAAAAGCCAGAATGAGTGACAGATTAATGAAAGGCTACAGAACCCTGCTGCAATTGTAAACTACAAAGGCTGATTACTAATGTTTTACTCAGAAAGTCTTAAAGTGCTTTTAAACGGCAAAAATTTTGCCTTCATGCTATAGAGACTGTAGCCAAACAGGTGAAGCTGAGGCTCGATGATATCATCAAGAATAGGGTGGCCCATGACCCATTCTGAGGGTTGCTCTGGAACCTCAGTTCCAGGACACGGTTCCTTTCCTTGTCACACAAGAATGGAATACTATAATTTAGATGTATTTACTGAAATCTGTTTAATTTGCTACAGAATATGGTTACATCTCCTGTTGTGGTACAGAGGTAAGACAAGCAACTAGCCTACAGTTAATTTTACTTACTGAACACCGACGAAGTCCTTGAGCCATTCACTGATTCCCAGGAGTCTGCAGGAATTAACACTGCAGGACGCGTTTATCAGAACTACCTTCTTCTTGTAGATTCGACCAACATCAAAATCCTTTGAATACCAAACATACCAGGTGGTGTGAATTACAGAAAATGGCATTTACACACGACAAATCCAGCTGCTTTTACCGCAGTTGTGTTCACAGTCCCTGCTGGGATCACAGGCCTATAAACCCATAAAGCACTGCCCTGCTCCAGACAAACCCTTCTAAACATCCAGGATCTCACGCTTCATGGAGGGGCAACATTATCCGGGTTTGTGCACAGCTACTGCACCAAGCTGCTCTGCCTTTCCCTGCAGTGAATGCCAAAGGCATTACGTCCCAGTCATGGTCCGAGCTGTTAACCATTAGACCACGTGTGGCAAATCCAGGTTTATTTAACCTGGCTAGAACTTCCCTAAGAGATTGCTAGAGAGAAACCTGAAACAGTACTTGGCTTTGACTAAAGACCTATTAAAAATAATCTTTTTTTTCTTCCCAGTGCCACAGAACTTCGATCAAGACATCAGTATATACATACAGTAAATACAGACGTTATCTCTGTAGATCCTATGCAGAATGGCACTCACCTTGAAATGAATGCAGCTTGGTTTACTATAGAAACTACATCCCTTATGCTCACGACCAGACATGATTCGCTTGTGAAAAATTCCAGTTTGGAATTCCTCCATTTTTTTCTCAAAAACTTCTTTTTTCACTATCCCTGTAGCCAGGTGCTTTGGATCCATTTCTTCTTTGGATATCTAATAAGGAACATCCGTAAAAACCACCAACACTGTAAGTCTGTGTGATCAGAGTCCGTAGCTCAAATCCGAAAAGTCTGCAGATTGAATCTTTCACTCTGTGGCCAGCCTTGGTTTCCCTCCAGATCAAACTCAGCCTCCCAACTTCTATATGAAGAATTTAATTTGTTCTCAGCTGTCTGTTCTGTAGCTTATCGTCATCCTATACTATGACACCGGGTTGTTCATGGCAGTATTAGCTCTTCTGCACTTAAGGGGTTTTCCCGCCTCAACTTCTTAAATAAATATTCAGCAGAAAATCAGCTAACTGCACCGGAACATTTCAGTTATGGTCCAGCGCTTCTTTCGTGCAAGTATATGAATATGTACTGACATCATGTCTTTTCCATTGATTATAAAGTCTGTTCTTCGAGGTCTTCTATAGCTCAGAAAAAGCAGGATATGCAAGTACACTTCGGAATAACATTTAAGATCTCAACTAGACAATTCCACTCTATAAACTGTATTATTTACTTCTGTTCAGAGTGGAGAATACTGTTACTTTCCTACAAGATATGTTTTTCTTTGCCTCGTATTGTATAAAAAAAAGCTGTTTCCACATAAAGCACCTGTGCTGCCAGCTCAACAGAAAGTCATGTTTAGTTTTTTTTAAATTAAACAAGTGAACATAATGTGAGGCATGTCTTCACATATTTCTGAACTAAAATTGAAGTATTGTTTTCTCTTTAAGAGGACAAACAACACAAGAATATGTGAAACAGCAATAACTCTGAGGATATATCACATCTGAATCTCTACATCTACGTAATAATGTAAAGTCAACTGCAAAATAGACAAGTATTGTTTTTGAGCAAGGTTCCTAAAACAGCACTTGCCAGTGTCATTCCTTCAGATACCTACAGCTACTAGAGAGGCAAATGAAACTTTTCGAATCTATTGAGATACCTTTATGGACACTGCCAAAATTTTGTAAAGACCAACTTCATAATGAGTCAATTACAAAAGGATCTCATCCACTTTTTTTTTTCCTTTTCTATTTCTAATAAGAGACATCACAACATTTACCTTGTGCAAGTCACATTCCTGACTCCAAAGTCCCGGGAACTCTGGCTTGACTAGGGTCTCGTCCCCCTCTTCCTCATCTTCACCACTTTCACAGAGCATATCATGGGGTATTTTTTCAGAAATCTCTCCTACAGAAGCAGTTCTCTCACCAGCTGGGGAATAAGCTGACGGAGAGCACGACGACTTTTGTGAAAGAACAAAAATTTTGAAGATATAGTTAAAAATTACTAGAGGACTGTTCCTTCAACAGTTAACAGTGTCTGAGGAGATCTTTTCATGCACAAATGACAGGTCTATAAAGCTCAGAGGCCAAAGATGACAACTTCGGTCAATCCTAAGTAAAAATCTTATGTTAAAAGCATCTATATGATGTTAACTGTAAAAAAAAAAAAATAAATCTAAAGACAGTTAACTCTTAGGTCTTTGTTTACCTGCGACATTGCTCCAGCTGACTGTCCGCAGGTCTTCTCAATGTATTGCCATGTTCTCATTCTCCACCGTACAGAATCCTCAAGTTTACCACCATCCTTAATTGCCTTAGTACAGGACTGACTTTTTTTCTGCTTGTGAACAGAAGCTTTCTCTCGCAAAATTTGAGATACAATCTCAATTTTTCTTGATTTTTGCTGTTCTCTAAAAGCTCTGTAATGTGATGTTGTAAAAAATATTAAACCATCAGTGGTTGTTTACTAATAATATTAACTACAGTCCAGTTTCTTTTGAGCCTTTAAGCTAAGTAACAACTCTTTAAATTGGGTGCAGTGGTAATTTATATCAAGACATCAGGCGATTCAGAGGCTACATTTTTGCAGACCAAATATACTCAATTACACAAATACAACACATACAGAATATGAGTTCACTCCCTTGAGAGAGCCTCACAGATGTTATGTTTTCAGAATCTGATCAAGAGCTTCAATATATTCCTGCATGAGCATCAGTGAGCAGCTGAAACTTTGATACAGGTCTGAGTACTTACTGTTTCTGTTTTTCATGCTCTAGCAGTCGTTTATGGCGCAAAATTTCCTTGGCAACATTGCCTCCTTCTGCCAGGATAGCTTCCCTCATCTTCATCTCCTGCTTCTTTGCCTCAAAGGCCATTGCTTTTTTCCGAGCTTGGAGAGCTTGGAGTTTTTCCTACAAAGGCATACAGACCACCGTTAGGTATTTCATTCACACATTACAGAACAGAAAACAGAGAATCTAGCACTGCTCCCCTTACCCAAGTATAAATTTCTGGTAGATTTCTCTGAAACAGAATTTATTGTTTTTAACATACACAGCAGTGACGGTGTTCTGAGATGGAGAAAGCTCTGACTAGGTCAGGGCTACTTTTCAACCCTTCTAGCCTGCCCTTGAAATGCTGCTCATTGAAGCAATGTGAAAAGATACAGTTCTAATCAAATCAATATTAAATTCAGATCATTCTGCCTGTTTATACAGAACATAAGTAGAAGAGCAAAGTAGCGTAGCTCAGAAATTCTTAATTTACATTATTTAAATTCTTAAGTAACTGTTTTTCTTCCATATGTTTTCTCCATATGAAGTATTTCTGCACTGGAAATACTTCTGGCTGAGTTTTCAGAGAACTTATTTGTAGTATGCATTATTTTCAAGAGAGTTCCCCTACCAGAACTAGACTGTTGACGAATAAACTCCATAAGCAGAAGTGTCACAATCTGCCAATACAAATCTAACACCATTACTCCTACAGTTTAATTCTCCCCAGTTTCAAAAGAGAACTGGTCAGTGATTTGACAGCATCACACAACAACTTCAATGAAAACCAAAATGACGTTCCTTAAAACCCAGCAGCCTAACAAGCGGATTTCCTCACTCCCCTCCAGCCCAGCAGTACCCTATTGGAAGTGATGCTGGTTTTCAGGGAAAGCACAGCTTGGATCCTTCTCTCCATATGCTCCTGAGTTTTCACTTCCTCCTTTGCATTTTTTTCATGAATTCTGTAAGTAAAGTAAAATCTTTCAGGCTCATATCCCGGAAAGCTTGTAGTATTAGAATGTTTAACCTGACAAGTAGTAATTGTCAATGTCACCAAACACTCCTCCTGTAAAGTTCTGTGTTTACTGCGATTCTGGGTGTGGGTAAAGCAGAACAGTTGGAAGTCTCTTCTAGATACCGTAGCGCTCAAGTTACAAGTGCCAACAGGCTTTCAACTAGTTTGCTCAACAACTTTTTTTTTTTATTTTGAATATGAAGAATGTGTTCCACATGATGACGTATGTCTAGTTGCTAAAATAAAGGAAGAATTCAGGTGTTGTTCATATAACCAATATCTAAACAATTACATAGTGAACTTTATACAAGCCAACCTCTTGTACCCACACTAAAAATAAACCTTAGAAACTCTAAAAGCTGGAAGTGTGTGGGCATGAATCAAGTCTGAGAGTATTCCAGCTAATATAATGGTAAAAAAAAATTCTGGAAGATTGATATATTTGATACATTACCCAGGGAAACAAAAATATCTATTTGGTTGTTTGTTTTTCTTAATTATTATAAGTTTGCACATCTAATGAAAAATAAATCAACACAGTATCATTTCTTCAATTTCTTCTTTACCACATTTCAGAAGGAATATGGAACAGCAGAGTGCAAGTTTCAAACCTGGAATTTAGTTATACTACTTTAAACTACTTCAGTGAATGACACCCACACATACAGAATGCTTCAAATCATTAGGAATGCTTGCTAGCGGACAGACCCCTCTGCACCTCCCCAAAGAGACAGTCCCTTTAGCTACAGGGACCCTGAAGACCCTACTGAGTGGATTTCCTTCTTTCACAGACCTTTCATGCCATGTCAAATTTGAACACTTCACAGCACTGGCACTACGGCAGAAGATTTCCGAGTGTAACAGAAGACACATGTAGCAGAAAGACGACTATTTTTCAAAGACTAAGGGATAAAGTACTATACACCAGAAAATGTACGATGGCAGAAAAGGAGTGAACAATAACCTCGCCATGCTTTTTCTCAGGAAGTGGATTGCTTTTTCATGGTTCCTTTTGGCATCTTCACACATTTTTTTATGCCTTTCTTCACATTCTTTCTGGGCTTCCTCTTCTTTTCTGCAAAGCACAGGCAAACCAACAGCTGCAGCAGGACTAAGGAAACCTTGATTCCAACACAATGACATCTAAGGCTGGGTTGGAGAGTTAATTAGGACTGTAGTTTTTCTCCCTCTGCCCCTCCCTACCCATACAGCCTCTTGTTTTCACAAAACCCATAGACAAATCGATAACCTGGTGTCCTCTAAAAACAAGAAATCTTGAACTTGATCACAAGTTCAGAAGGTCCTGGTGACCAACAGCAATGCAGACACATGCAGTTAGTCTGATCTAGTGAAGTTCATTCCCTTGGACAAAAAGCATTCACAGGTTTTGTCTTTAGCAGGTCTATTTTCATGTATCAGAAATCTTTTCCTGCATAACTGCAAGACTGTGGGCAATTCTTATTTTAATTCTATTTACTCATAAAATATTCCTGAAGCAACACCCAGCTCTGAAACACAATACCACTAGTATTTGAATTAGCACATCTTCAACACCTGAACCTGCGAATTTGCTAAAAATAATACAGAGAAAGGAAGGAGAGTGGGACTTATAGGGGCTTACTTTTCTCTAGAACGCCAGTTTTCTTCTGCTTGCAGTGCTGCTGTCTTTTCCTTCCTAATCCGCACTTTTCCTTGTTCTTGGTATTGCATCTCTAGCTCCTCCTCATCTTTTTTAAGTTGTTCATGGAGGTTTTCGTATTTTCCCTGCTCAGTTTCTAGATGCCACATCTCAAGCCTTTAAAACAAAGTGTGAGCTGTTTTCACTGAAAAACTCTTTCACTTACTTAAGGCTGTTGACCTGGTAAGACTCAAATTTGTTTCTCAAATTCACAGTTACCCAGAAGAAAATACAAGAAACAAGAAAAATTAGGAAAATAGCTTTTTCTTTAGCAATAAATAACTTCAGGGACAGGCCTTAGCTTTTATTCTTCTAGGTTTTGGTGAAGGAATTCAGATACAAGAGGGATACACATAAACAGATTAATAGTGTCATTGCTAATCACACAGTAAACGAGTCAAGCATTTTAAAGCTGTTATACAACACTGCAGCAGAACATACAGTATTCTGGTTAATCACATCTATAAGCTCGTGCTTGGGTTCCTCCTTTGATGTGGTGGCATTAGTAGTTGTACCTCTGGTGCCAAGACATGAACACACTCGCCTGTTGCCTTCTGCTTATGTAAAGAAATAATTTAGTAGGTGTGAACAATCAATTACAAGCAGCAGTATTAGCTTAGCATACAAATACACAGTATTACTCCAATGTCTACACCATTCTCAGTTTCAATCTTTTCCTTTATGCCACATATTAAAAAAACAAAACAAAACCCTAAGAGGCATAAATTAGAAGTATCGATGCTCATTCAGAGATCAGTATCACAGACAGGGCTACTTCAGTCCAGCTTTTTTCCACTTAAAATGAGGCCAGTTTAGGCCCACAATGTACACACAACTCCAAACAAAATCAAAACTTCATGTATGTGTGCAAAACTCACTCAGGAGCTGAGCCACAGCAACCAATTTCCTAAGCAATGAACTGTCCAGGCTAGAAGTTGATCTCAAGATCCTTTGCCTTGCAGTCAGCCTCGCATGACCTCAAATTACATAGTTCAGTATTTACAAGCAACTTCTGTAGTGATTAACTTTTGAATCCATTAAACAGCACATGAAGAACAGAATAAAGATTGACTCCCATCACACTGCTTTCTCATTCCCTCACTTACATGTTTTCTTTTAGTGTTGAAGCAATTTTCAACTCCAAATCCTTCTCTTGCTCCAGTTCAGCGCACAGTCGCCTGTGCACTGCCTCAAGGCGGGACAAAGCTGCACTGTTAACATGAAAAAGGAACAATCAGAAAGAATTTAGAACTAATAAAGGTTAAAAAAAAAATCCCTCCATCAAGACCAGCAACAATAAAAAATAGCTTTAGTAGTATTGGCTTTAGCCAATGGTTTGTTCACAATACACTGGTTCCTGGTACAAGCCACCCACGTCTTTCTATTTAAACCAAATGTGAGGAGTACAGTAATTTGCCTCCCACTTCATGGCAAAAGTGTTTCAGAACAGCTCCTGCATGCAGAGCTACTCCTGAAAGACATGCGTGCATTTCACAACAGAAACCCACATGGCACACAGCTCTAAATCCTGATGGCAATAGTTACCAGAAGCAAAACCATGACCTCTAAAGCTGCCACAGCACATCGGTGTTGGTTCATCACACTGACTGGAAGTGATGGAGACCCTGATAAACATAATTGACAGTAGTGGGCTAGGCTGTTTTTATATTTTAAAATATATGCTGCTTTCCTGTCCATTCCTAACTTTCCACCTCTTTCTGCACTCATTTACCTAACAGAGTATTACCTCTAGGCCAGAAAGCACAGAGATCAATGATTCCCAAGCCAAAGCACCATTATTCTTTATTTCAAAAGGAGGAATTATTGCTGAAGACGTGACAAGGGGAAAGGGACTGCAATATTAGTGTTCACCAACACGGGAATGAGTGCCAGGATAGCCTTCCAACCTAACGCAGTTGCATCTTCCCCTGAGAATGCCAATGGGTTTCGTCACTGATCTCTTAACATCTTTAATATATGTGCTTAAAAATTCTCTCAACTATTCAACAACATGAAGAGATGAAAACAGGGAAGTTCATCTCATCAGTTCCACACAGATGAGCATAGTGGATGCCAGTAATCTTTGGTATCCAGAAATACTCTCTACCTACACATTGCCAGCCTCCTCCTCTTTCTCCATCTCAATGTCTACAGACTCCAGCTGCTTTGCTAGCATCTTGATCCACAGCCGACAGGTACTCTGCTTCTCTCTGCAATAAAAAATGAGATTATTTTTATTTTTTTAAGTTCTTTACTTTTCTCATTAAATTCTTCCTTTTAGGGATAAGATTCACAGCTAGGATTCCCTTTGGCCCTCCCAACTCCAGTGATCTATGCTGACCATTATGTTCACTTAAACACTAACCTGGTTTTTTGGACCACAAGTTGCTGTGCTTCAGCCATGTCATTGAGCTCTTTTAGGTTCCTCTGTAAGGCGAACATAGCAGTTCTGTCTGGGTGCTTCATAGCCTGAATATTAGTGTTGCCCAAACAACGATCCAAGCTTTCCCTTTGGATTGAAACACACTATTATCAATGCAAAGATAATGAGAAATTAAAAACTTACATGGAGTTTATACATCATCCACTCACACATCTGTGGGTTAATTGCTTTCTGTTTTATTCTATCAGAACTGTTAGAAATGTGAGCAGTATAAATAAGGAAAAAAGTGAACATAATTTGTACAGGGTTACAATCATGCACTTAAGCCAAGATTTTTAAACTTGGATATTTAATGCTAAACATTTATACCATATTTCATGCAGTAATTGTATGGTTTTGCTTTGAAATGCCTGTGGCTCCTCTTGATTATACCTCAGGTTTGCAAATTCTAGTTTTCCTGAACAATAGTTTAAAACTTTAAAGGGCATGTTCCAAACTAGTTTAAAAAAATATTGCATACAGCTGAGCAGTTTGTGGGGTGAGCAAAACTCTCTTATCATTTTTGATAATCTTATCATTTTTGCTTAAACATATAGCAAGAAGAGGTCTGAAGGTTTAGGTCCTTCGAGGAGAGCCAATTAGCCCAATTAAGGTGGTGCGATCATGTTATCAATGGTGTTATGTACACACCCACAATAGCTTCAGCTTAAGATAAAGACAGGCTCTAGACACTTCTTATTCAGCTCGTTGTTTTAACAGTAGTAGCCAATTTAAATTTTTTTTTCTAGAGAGGTCGATATTGTCTATGACTAGTTTGACAAAAAATGCATCGCTGAATTAACCAAACCTTTTACTGAAAAGGTAAGTTAACACTACATAGGAAATTACAGTTAGAACAGGTAACAAAACACATTATTTACATGCTAGACTCAGATTTGTCTCCAACTCCTTCAGAATCATCCATGTCTCCCATCTTGCCACCACCAGCCAACTCTTCAAGCTTGTATTCTAACAGACATTAAAACAACAGTTTAATAAAGAGACTTTGAACTTTAAGATGCAAACCAAAACAGGAAAATGCTCTCTGCCTTCGTTAGGGAAGTGTCACCAACAATCCAATCTATGGGGAAAAAAAATGAGGGGAAGGGGAGGCTAATGTACTGACAGTCTAATATGTTTATCTGACACTACCTTATCCCGCTGTGCTGGGGAGATAGAAAGTTTTCATCGAGTATTAATGCTATCAAGAAAACGATGAGGAAAGAATAGCCTAAGAACTAAAGACCAGTATTGAGCACTACACCATGTGTGATGGTATTGTAAAACAGTAGTATGTTGCCTCACATAATACACTGAAAGATACTTGTGGATACAGTTAGGGACATCGGCTGCCTATTAAAAGGTACCTGCTGCCCGTTTAGATGTCTTAGGATATCCAGCATCTTCGTAGAGTTGAATCTGTCGAAGACCTGCGCCACTCTGGAGGCCGATACCAGCACTTCAAGTGGCACCAGGTACCAATGCATGAGCAGCTGAAGCCCATACAGTCAAATATTAGATTTTTACCATCAATAACTATGAATCAAACCTTTATGGAGGTAAAAAGTAGAGAATTTACTGCTACAGAAATAAAGGGTTAGAGCTGGATTATTCACAGCTGTTGTAGTGTAATGCTAGAGAACACCTACTGGAATCATTACCTGGAATATCATTCAGCCCTTGAACCCTGCTGTTCCTCTCTAATGAATTAGCAGAGACATCAGTGTTAGTTTGTTGTAAATCATCAAAACAGTTCATCTTTTTCACCTTCCCAGGCTTCTTCCACATCAGAGCACTGACCATCTCCGCCTTCTTCTTTGTCCTCTTCCAGAAACAATAGAAGAGATTTTTGCTCTTCTTCATCACTATAACTGATCTCACTATCTTCCATACGGACAGCTCTTTCAAAACAACCAGGCTAAGAAAGAGAAGAGCAGATATTTTATATACACAGCCTCCAAGAACCTGTGATAGTGCTGACTGCACCTTGAGATGAATTAACAGCATTCAGGAAACAACGCATGGGAAATGACCGGACACAGCCACGCACCTTC